TCCCCACTGGACCCTCATCATTTCCTTCACCTGCTCCCCCCACCGACCAAACTGTGCAGCTCTGCAACTGCATCCTGGCCCATCCTCACCCTTCTGTCCCCAACCTTCACCTCCTTGTACCCCCAATATGTTTTTCCCAATAAAAGAGAAAAAAGGACAGCCTTTTTTATAATTTTAAATTTTATTTTATTTCCCTTGTGCACTGTTGAATCAGATCTGACTGGCACAGGAGGATATTTCCCCTCCTTCTCCAGCAGAGTTATCTGGTGGATTCGAACCATACGCCTTTGGGATTGTAGGTCAGCTTCTTGCTATTAGGCCACCTGAGCTCCCAAGGACAGACGTCTTTTTTTTTTTATTATGTTTGTGTGTGTGTGTGTGTGTGTGTGTGTGTGTACTGTCAGATCAGATCTGAGCGGTACAGGAGGAGATTGTTTCTCCTTCTCCAGCAGAGCATCTGGTGGATTTGAACCGTGCACCTCTGGGATTGCAGTATACCTTCTTGCCACTAGGCCACCAGAGCTCGCCAGACAGACGTCTTTAACTCAGATTTTACACTTACTCTTTCCTACCAAGTTTCTTGAAAACAGAATAAGATCTTGGGTGAGGACAAGAGGACTTGTGTTTTTTCGGAGGATACTTAGATGTCGTTCCCTAAAATAAATGTAATTCATTAAAATAAATTTAATAATGGCAATAAAATGATTGTAATTTTCCCCTTATCTCTTGCAATATACCATCTGCATATGATCACATCACAGAAATATTCCCTAAAACAATTTCATTTTTAAACTATCAAATTGGTGTAATTCCTTATTAAAGGATCCTTTTCATGCAAAAGCAGACCTAAAGTGATCTTCTTTATTTTTATTTTATTATTTGTGTGTGTGCGTGTACCGTCAAATCAGATCTGACTGGTACAGGAGGAGATTGTCCCTCCTTTCCCAGCAGAGCATCTGGTGGATTTGAACCGTGCTCCTCTGGGACTGCAGTGCAGCTTCTTGCCACTAGGCCACCAGAGCTCCCCTAAAGTGATGTTCTTAAGCCATAAAAAGCACTTATCAGAGCCATTCCATGTACCACTCAATTTATTCAAACCTCCTCTCCTCCCCCACAGGGCCAGAGTTGGTCTACTCTGTATGTGTCCTTCTTCACAGTAAAGGAAGGTACCATCATTATCAAAAGCCAAACGCAAGGGAAAACATACATTTTTAGGATTTCCTTAATTCATAGCAGAAACAGCAGCCAATGAGCAATGAATGCTATGTCCACAGATGCCAGTTTGCTTCATCTAGCCCCTCAGCCCTCATGAAGCTTCAGAGGTTAGACAAGCAGCATTTAAAATCTGCCCATATAGTGACCTGCATATAAGTTTATATACAAAACGGAAAATAAATATTGAGGTTCTTAAACGTAGACAATCCTTTAACTACGATTTACATGACTAGAAAAGTCTGTGGGTAAGAGGAGAAATCATGTGGTACTGTGAAGCAGGAAGATTACCTTCCTTCAGACATGACAGTTCAGTAGCTTTACAAAGAAAGACCTCAGCTCTGACACAAGTGGGGCGAAAACCTTAGGCAGTGAGTGACCAAGTAACTCTTGCACACCTGGCTTCTGATAAGGTAAAATTAGTAGGGAGTGGTTGAACCTAATAAACAAGGGCATGGACTAGAGACGGAGGTGTAAAATGTTTTGACACCATAAAAGGAGTCCTAACCCTAAATTACGTCAGACAGAAACCAACCCTAAATTACTTCAGACAGAAACCATGAAAGACTGAATCAGATATCCACTCTTGGCAAAAATAGATCTTATTTCTTCCCAGTGTAAAACAGTAAATGCCCCTACACAACTGGACTTTTCAAAAAGCACTTCCTTCTGACTTTGAAGCATGAGGCAGATAAATAGGACTTGTAGATAAACTTGGGAAATAAAAAAGGAAAATTTAAATTTTAAAAAATTAAACAGGGCTCACAAAAGGAGAATCTGTTAGAGATCCTATATATATAAAAAAAAAAAAAATGAAACATTCATATATTGACAAAGAAAGGAAATGGCATTAACAGCTTTTGGGTTTGAAGGGGAAGTCCATCAAGACATTTTTCAATTCTCAGCCGAGAGTGTGGGCTCACTGTGTCCACAGAAGAACAAGGCATCATGCACATCCCAAAAGGAATTCCACAGGAAAGTCCTCTGTCTTGCCAAACTTCCTGAGATGGGCACCCACCATGCACAGTCCACTGCATGCCAAATTGCAGCTCTAGCTGCTTATCGACCTACAGTCTCTGAGCTCTTAGCTTCCTGGTGGTTAGTGCTTGATCTCTATCGCCAGGCGCGATTCAGGAGTTTCACTTGAGCCAGTCTCTTAGTGATCATGGTGGCAAAAACCAGGCCAAAGAGGACGCTGCTAATTAACACGTAGTCATAGTCATCCTTCAAGACATCAAACTGTTTTGATGGGTAGACTCGAGTCTGGTAAATGTCTAAACCATATGCTACAACCTGCAAAGGCAGAGAGAACAAGAGTTATGTAAAAAAGGCAATAAAAGATCCATCACAAACTCAGATAATAATGGACGCAGAACCCTCGTTACACTCCTACAATGAAACAGAGCAGGTATCCTAAGTGCTGTACAGGTAAGAGGCTGAGCTATGGGCTCTACTCACCAAACACGTGGATTCCAGGCCCGAGGGAGCTGTGTAGATACCTCGCATTCGAGAAACTGTCTGGTTATAGTTGATGAATCGCTCTGCATGTATCTGAACATCTGGAGAATATGGGATTAGGTTTTCTTCTCTGCAAAACACAAACAGGGCAGGGACTCTAAAAATGACTGTAAAGGGCCTTGTTGGCTGCCCTTTCTCAGTCCTGGGAGGTTTCCAGACCACGTAGGTAGACTCCAACCTTCCTTCTCTTGGCTTCCCTATATGATCTGGTCCCCTGCATTCCCAGTGTCTCCCATCGCTCACTGCTCCTGCCACACTGGCCTCCATGAACTCCTCTAATGTGCCAAAAGTCAGGGTACTTCTACTAGCTACCCTTAGTCTAGAAATTTCTCCCTCTCAGGTATCCACATGTTACCTTGCTCACCTCCTTTATGTCTTTACTCAAAGACACCCTTTCAGGGAGAGGTGAGCACCCTTTCTTGACCTCACAGTCCCTGTTTCTGGGTGAAGGTTTACAAAGCAAATTAATTTTCCTTTCAACTATTCATATATATTTTATTCAATAACATTCAATGTAATCACACTTTTCCCCACATACTCCCACCACTGATTTCTAGTAATCCTATTACATCTCTCTCTGCTTTGTTAACACTGCGTTGATCATCTGCTTATTGGATACTGCCTTTTCCTTCACCTATCTTTTTTTTCAATTGAGATTTTAATGAAAGTTTATAGAGAACTTTGATTTCCATTCATTCATTTTTACACATTTTCCTCCCAGTTCTCTTTGGGAAAAAAAAATCTTTCTTAATTTATGCCTTTTATTTACTTAGGGAGCTTAGTCAGTTGGGAGTTGTGGTGCTAATCCAAGGCCTTGCCTTTTAAGCAGTTCAAAGCCACTAGTAGCTCCTCAGGAGAAAGATGGGAAATCTCCTCTTGTGTAATTTACTCTTGTAAAAGACAGGAAATTTCCTCTTGTGTGAAACCCAAAGGAGGGTCAGCTTCAAGTTGATTCTGACTCTATGGCAATGTATTATTATTATCATCATCTATTTACTGATTTTTCACTCTCTTCTCATCCCTAATAAACAGCCAAGAATGTTGTGCATAATAAAACTTGCCTGTTTTAGTTTTCCTTTTGTTTCAGCATCTACCATTACCTAGCCTACTACATATTTTACTTGTTTATCTTATTTGTTGTCCATTTCTTCCATCCGAATGTAAACTCTATGAAGGTATGATTCTCTGTCACATTTGTTCAATGCTACATCCCTAGCCCCTAGCACAGCCTGGTGGCACACAGCAGAACAAGAACCAGACTTAACCAGCAAGATGACGTTCCTTGAGGTCAGGACCTCCAGCCCTTCCCTGAGGTACCTCACCTGCTCTGTTCTGTTGGGATCTCAGGACGGCGGGGATCCAACAAGGCCTTAGGAAGGGAGAGGATTGCTCCTGAAGGTAGCCCAACTGTACAGGAAGAAGCCAAAAGAAGTGAACATTTGTACTTAGTCAAGATTAAGACTTGTAACATAAAAGCCATTACCACAAAACTTAAAAGTAGATTCTAAAACACAAAATCTGGGTGAGGAACTCTTTCAGGAGCTGTGGTAGCAGAGTGGTTAAGCATTCAGCTGCTCACTGCCAAGGCCGGCAGTCCGGATTCATCAGCCACTCCACAGGAGAAACAGAAGGCAGTCTGCTTTCATAAAGAGCTCAGTCCTGGAAACCCTTCAGGGCAGTTCTAGTCTGTCTTGCAGGGCCTCTATGAGTAAGAATTAGCTCAATGGCAACAGGCTTGGGATATCTGGTGGCCCATTAACTGAAAACTCACTGCTCTCAAGTCAATTCTGGCTTGTAGCAATCCTCCACTGGGTTTCTGAGACTAGCAATCTTTCTGCCAAAGAGCAGCTGGTTTACTAGACCCCTGACCTTTCAGTTTAACTGCCCACATGTAAGGCACTACATCACCAAAGCTCCTTTTCTATGGATGAATGTACCTTAATTAGCCAAAACCAATAATCCAACAGTACATATGAGTTTGAAGTGGAGGGTTTACATGTGAAGATAGTGACTTCTTCATAATACACCATCTTAGGATACTAAAGTTCTAGAAACAAGAAGTGAACAATCAAAAGAGAAGAGCACAGAAGATGACTCTTCATTCTTTTTTCTTATTTCTCGAATAATACCTTCCATACCAAATAAATGTACTTCCAGTTAGCCAAACAGACTGTATGTGCCACTGCAATTCTGAGGCTAGGAGAAAACTAGAGACCTACTTTTGACATGCCTATTTCAGTAATGGTGATGATTACACTTGGGCAAATTCCTGAGGGGGGATCTCTCAGATCTGAGAATAAAATAGTGTCAGGTATCTGTCAAAGTTCAGAGTCCTTAAGGCCTTTGGTATAACAAACTAGGCAGACAGCCTATTAAATAATCGTAAATCTTGAATAAATAGAAGGCTCTCAATGAGATAAGGTTGGCATAGTGACTACAACAATGGGTTTGAGCACTGTGGAGATTGTGAAGCTGGTACAGGATTGGGCAAGGGTTTGATCTGTTACTCATAGGGTTACTATGAATCATAGCTGACTTGACAAATATCTAACAAGAAGTCCTGAGCTACAGGAGATCTTAAACCATGTCCCCTTCTGCAGCCCATCAGCACAGGTTATCTAAGTAAAAAAGCACTATTACAAAATCATAAAAATGTTTATTAAACAAAAAGAAAAATGTGAAGCTGTTATTTTTCAACATATAATATCATCTAGGTCAATACACTTCTAAAGGTGATGACTGTATTTCTCTAATGCTTTCCTGAAGAGTTTTACACTTTTACATTTTTTTTTTTTTGCCTTCTTAAAGGGCTGTTCCTTGAAGGCAAGGATTCTGAAGCTTCGTCTGACATATTTTGGACATGCTGCAAGGAGGGTCCAGTCCTTAGAGAAGGATGTCATGCCTGGGAGGGTGGAGGAACAGCACAGGAAAGGAAGACCCTCGATGAGATGGACCGATTCAGCGACTGGGTAATGGGGGAAGGTGTGTCAAAGACAATAAGATGGGCATAGGGTAGAGCAGAATTTAGGGCTGTTGTACAGAGGGTTGCTATGAGTCACAAGTAACTCGACAGCACATAACAAGAACTAAGGGAATCAAATCACACTTCCTCTAAAAGTTCTTTGACACTCTGTAAATGTTCATTGAAATGAATAATAATAATAATAATAATAATAATAAAGTTCTTTGACAACAGCCCAGAATAAGAGGTATATCACTACAGAAAGGATAGGCATGGGTGGGTAACTGTGCAACAATGAATGAAAATTAAAAAAAACAGTGAACTAGGGGAGGGGAAAGGGAAAGAGAGAGGGTAAAATGTGCAACATGAATAAATGGAAAGCTAACTTCTCTGTAAACGTTCATTAAATTCACTATTAAAATAAAATTTTATTTTGTAAAAATTTCTTTGAGTATGGGGAACAAAAAGTCTGAAAGAGCAAGATGAAGTCTGTAGGGTATATAGCGAAGGTTTCCCCACGACATCCTTGTAGAAGTAGGCCTTCACTACCCCTGACAAATAAGCCAGTGCAAATCTCTTGGCCTTTTTTCTCATCAATGCAATTTTCTTCCTAATGAGCTCCCATGAAATCCTAGGTCCTTCGAGAAAATGTATTATGATCACCCTCTTTGGATTCCAAAAATCAACAGCTATACCCTTCTGAGCTGATTTCTCAGAAGGTGATCTGGCCCAACATATCCCCTTGAAAGCCACTGTATTGATTCAACTTTGCTCTCTGGATCATATTGGTAAATCCAAAACTCATCCCTGATTACAATTCATTCCTTAAAAATGCCTTCATTAGCTTTGATCTTGCTTAAAAGACAGATGGGAAAATAAGTTCAGAGGTAGCTGATCTCAACACAATGTTTTGGCACATATCCTTTTGGTTGAAGGTACACAATGAGACTAAGATAAATGTATTACTGAAAACTTGTTGGCAGCCAACACTTACCACAAAGACATATTTTAAAATGTTTTGTTTGGAACAAACCCATGCGTGCATGAACTGGACCTCTAGTAGCAATACATGGGACTTAACCTTATAAAATAAGCATAATATCAGGGATCAATTTTCTGAGCTAGCTGAAAGGGCAGAATAGAGAAGTGAAGTGGTTCATCTAAAATGAGAACTAAGAGAGTGAGAGATGGTCATCTTTTATAGGTGGCAAAGCCAGACTAGGGAACTTTCTCTGCTGACAGACAGAAGAGTCCCCCAGTAGCCTCCCCTTCCCGGTGGTCTAACTGGGCTCTGCTGGCAGTGTCTCCTCCGTTCTCTGTCTTTCAGTTATCAACAGCAACCACTGCTCCCTAGAGACTCACTAAGCAGGTGTCGGCTGGTGATGCCCCGCTCTGTGATGGTGGCCTCCATGGTGCTGATGGAGGAGGGGAAGATATAGGACTGCTGCAGGACCTGGGGCAGCTGAGGGCGGTCCAGTGAGCTAAAGGCGGTGGCGTTGTACTGCTCGGTTCCCTCATAGAGCTCTAGAGCAGTGAACTCGTTGCGCCGAGCCTTGGTGTTCCAGTACTGGTACTGTAGAGAGAAGAGGAGGCAGCTTAGGGCTCAGCCACTCGTTCATCTGTAAAGGACAAATTACCCTGGGAGGCATTTTTCAAATTAGATCCAGGAAAGAAGAAATTGCCTAGCCCCTCTATTTTTTTCCGTTCTGCTAAGGTTACTCACTTTCAAGGTAGTGTTAATAAGGCTATTTACAGTTCATCACAAGATAAAGGAATTCTCAAGATTTTCAGAAGTTATCATGTTAGTAACAAATGAATCCTTACTATAAGCCAGATGTTCTAAGCTAGACTAGGTGACTATTACTGTTTTAGCTGGTGTGGCAGAGAGCTTAACTACTTCAAGGCTGTATAGTCAGGGAACTGAAACACTGAGCTTCAAACCTAGGCAGTCAGATTGCTGAGTCTCCCCCTACTAGGACATGATCCTGCCATCCAGGAGCTTTGAAGCCTTGTGAAAGTAAAAAGCAGCAACCAGATGTCTCAAGCAAGTGGTAAAGACAGGAGCTAAGATGGAGGAACACCAGTTAGACCCTCCTTAGAAACCTCACATGGTAGTGACACTCCTTACCACCACCCAGTTCTCAGAATGCACGATATGGACAGGGCCCTTGGCTTTCTTCTGCACAGAGGAGTGGATGATGCGTCCTGTAATGCCATCGATGAGGAAGATGCCAATGAAGGTACGCTCATGGTGCACATCTGTGCTCTCTGTCACAACAGCCAGCAAATTGGGGTTCAGGCTCTGGGGAGGGAAGGAAAAAAACTCCTTGAGAACCACAACAGCATGTCAGGAACAACACTTCTCTGTGAGGGGATATGGAGGTCCAGACCTGGCAGAAGAACAGGGATTTCTGGTTCATTATATACAGTATATCATTATTTTACTAATTTAGTATGCATCCCAGGTGTGTTCCTTATATTATTTCATTTAATCTCTTTAATAATGCTAGAAAGTAGCTTGTCTTTACATTTCACAGATAAAAGTCTTAACAAACTGAAGTCACAGACACAGTATATGATAACCCAAGATAAAATCCAGGTTAGTCTACACACTGATTAAGGCCAATACTCTAGCAATGTTATTTTCCTCCATCAAAACCGTTCTCAGATTTAACGGTACATTCACATGATCGAATACTATGTAATACAAAAAAGCACTGGGTCTGAGAAATATTATCTAACACAGGAGAGGCTGGAGAGGATTATGCTGTATGAACTAACTCAGATTTATAAGGACAAACACTGCATAAGATCACTTCTGTAAAACAGAGGATTACTAGTAAGATGTGTCATCTGCATAATGCAGGTTAGTGGAATCTCTCTCCAATCCTGATGTCACATTCCTCTTCACAGAGTCCAGCTCTTCAGATAATTTGCTCAGCATATAGACTGAACAGGTATGGAAATAAAATACATCCCTGGCACACTCTTTTCCCAATCCCAAACCACGCAGTGTTCCCCTGCTCCATTAGTACAACAGCCTCCTACTCCAGGTATAGGTTCCTCATGAGCACAATCAAGTGCTCTGGGATTCCCTTCTTCTCAATGTCAGCCACAACTTGTCATGATCCACACAGTCAAATGCCTTTGCATAGTCAATAAAGCACAAATAGACATTCTTCTGATAGTTCTTACTTTCAGCCAGGATCCATCTGACATCAGCAATGATATCCCTGGAGCCACGGCCTCTTCTAAATCTGGCTTGAACTTCTGGCAATTCCCTATCTATGTACTGTTCCGGCCATTCTTGAATGATCTTCAGCAGTATTTTGCTTGCATGTGATATCAATATTGTTCGTTAATTTCCACATTCAGTTGGATGACACAATCTTACTTGCTGAAAGTGAGAAGGATTTGAAGCACTTGTTGCAAAAGATTGAGGAATGCAGCCTTCAGTATGGATTATGTCTCAATATCAAGAAAACAAATATTCTTATCACTGGACCAAAAGGCAGTGTCATTATGGATGGAGAGGAACCAGAAACTGTCAATAGCTTCATCTTGCTTGCACCCACAATTAACACCCTTCGTATGAGCAGTCAAGAAATAAGGACACACATTGCAATGGGAAAATCTGCAGTTAGGGACCTTTCCAAATTATTGGGGAGTAGTGATGTCAGTTTGAGGACTAAGGTGTGTCTGATTCAGGCCATAGTCTTTCCCATCACTAGCTATATCTGAGACCTGGATGAATAAGGATGACAGAAAAAGAATTGATGCCTTTGAGCTGTAGTGTTGGAGAAGAGTACTCAACATCCCATGGACAGCCAAGAAAACAAATAGTTATGTCTTGAGGGTGCAGTTGGAGTGCTCTTTGGAGGCTTTTTCGATGAGGCTTCGCTTCACACTTTGGCCATATTGCTAGGAGATACTATTCCTTGGAGAGGGATATGATGTTGGGAAGGGTAGAAGGTCAGGAGAGGAGAGGAAGACCCTCAACCAGGTGGACTGACACGATGACTGCTGCAATGGGCTCTTACGTGTCAGGAAATGTGAGAATGGCACAGGACAGGACTAAGTTTAGATCTTTCGTTCATAGGGTCGCTATGACTCGTACTTAACTTGATGGCACCTAACAACAACAACAACAATTAACAACAGTAAGATGTGTAAAAAAGTCCAAAATTGGGGGCTGAGTACTGGGAGAAGAAGAAATATCGAGGTAGCAGAATTTGGTGGACAGAGCGAGGGGATGAAGGAACTAGTAAAGATTCAGTGTGGGCCTGGAAAAATGGCGTAATGATGGTCATGGATCAAAGATGATCACTGGTGATCATGGGCCAATGATGATTTATTTTATAAAACTCAATGATTGTAATGATAATATGAAATAAATGATAACATGATAAAATGTTAACAGAAGAATACATGAAACAATATATATATACAACTTTTACATATATATGTGTGTGTATATATACATATATATACACACAACTTTTGTATGCAAACAAATATAAAACGAAAAAAATTAAAAACAAAACCAAACCTGTTCTCAAAGTCACCAATGACTATTATGGCTGAATCCAATGGCTCTCTCTACTTCTTACTTGAATTATTAGCATCATAGGTTAACTAGAGTCTCCTGAAACACTTTCTCTGAATGCTTGGCTTCCATAATTTCCCTTTTCTCCTGGCTTTCTTTCTGTCTTGCTGACCACTCTTCTGTCTTTTTGGCTGCTTTCTGCACACTATTTTTTTTTCTGAGTATATTATCCAAAACCAAATGGAACAGTACATTGATAGAGAACTACCAGAAATACAACCTGGGTTTAGACGAGTCAGTGGCACTACAGACATTAGCGCCAATGTCAGATGGACCTTGAGGGAAAGCAAAGAATATCAAAGGAAATGTCTATTCATGCTTCATTGACAATGCAGAGGCATTTGACTGTGTGAATCACAACAAACTGTGGCTAACTCTGAGAAGAATGGGAATCTCAGAGCACTTGACTGTACTGATGTGAAACCTATACTTGGACCAAGAGGCAGTCATCAAAACAGAGCAAGGGAACACTACATGGTTCAAAATTAGGAAAGGAGTGCATCAGGGATGCATTCTGTCTCCATACCTTTTCTATATGCAGAACAGACCATTCAGGGGGCTGGACTATATGAAGAGGAGTGTGGCATCAGGATTGGAGGAATACTCATCAACAACCTACATTATGCAGATTATACAACCTTGCTTACTGAAACTGAGGAAAACCTGAAGCGTTGGCTGCAGAAGGTCAAGGAACGTAGTCTTCAATATGGACTTAAGTTCAATATCAAGAAAACAAAGATTCTCACTGCTGGGCCAACTGGCAGGTTCATGGTAGATGGAGAAGAGATGGTTGTTAACAATTTCAGCTTGCTTGGCTCCACAATCAACACACTTAGCACCAGCAATCAGGAAATCAAAAGATAAATTGCACTGGGAAAGTCTGCTGTCAGGGACTTCTGCAGAGTGTTGAAGAGAAATGATGTCAGTATAGAGACTAAGGTGCACCTGATCTATGCCATGGTCTTTGTAATTACATGCTATGCTTCATAGTGCTGGACAATGACTAAGGATCACAGAAGAAGAACTGATGTCTTTGAGTTGTGGTGCTGAAGAAGAGTACTGAACATACCACAGACCACCATGAGAAAAAATGGGTTTGTCCTAGAGAGGGTGAAACCAAGTTTCTCCTTGTAGGCAAGGACTTTGAAGCTCCATTTCACATACTTTGGGCACATGGCCAGGAGGGATCAGTCCTTAAGAAGGACATCATGCTTGGAAGCGTGGAAGGACAGCACAGAAGAGGAAGGCTCCAGGTGAGATGGACTGATATTATAACTGGGACAAGGGATTTAGGTGTGTCAGAGCCTGACTTGGGCTAGTTGCACATAAGGTCATTATGAGTCGCAGGGGACTTGACAGCACATAACAATAACAACAGTACATTCTATTGATGGTACATAAGCCCCTCCCTTTTCTCAAGGGGACTGGATGGAAACTGTGTCAAGGACGTCAGATACCTAGCGTGTATGGGAATCGAGGTAGGGCAAAGATTTTAGCAGAGGGTCTGTCTTCTAGTGCTATTGCTGGGACTGGTGGTCCAAGGGGCTCTTATTTTTTGGAGGCCATGTGAACCATTAGGTCAACTATCCAGTTACCTGGTTATGACTCAATGGTACTCAACAACCACCGCCACCCTGTTGCTATAGACAAATGAATTGTCATACTAGGAAATAAGTGGAAACTACAGAACAATATCATTGATTTCACATGCAAGCAAGATTCTACTGAAGATTATCCAAAAATGAATGGAAAAGCACATCAGCAGAGAACTGCCAGAAGTCCAGGCTGGGTTTAGAAGGGGTGGGGTACTAGGGATATTGTAGCTGATGTTAAATGGATCTTAGCTGAAAGTAGGGAATACCAGAAGAATGTCTATCTGTGTTTCATTGATTATGCAAAGGCATTTGACTGTGTGGATCATAACAAACTGTGGCTGACTCTGAGAAGA